AAATTGATAAATTGTTCAATTTGAATGGAAAAGGTTCATGTGTCTATCATGTTGCCGTTAAGTAAAAATAATTTCTCAATCAAAATGAACAACCACGTACTAGACACATGAGGCTTTTCCGTCTAAATTGAATAATTTACATTTTTGAACTAAATGTGGTTAAAAATTATCCATTCATGTACTAAATGTATTGAGCCCAAAAGTTTGGGAATGAAATGTGTCCCTAGTTCAAAATTTAGGGACAAAAAGTAAATTTTTTCCTTTCAACCTCAGAGGGAAAGAATTAGTGAGTTTGTTTGGACAGGGTATTATTTGGATGATTTATTTGAGATATTTACTGTAGCATTTTTTATGATGTGATGTATGTGAGATAAAAAGGTGATTGGGATTTGTGAGAATAAATTTTGCAAACCAAATTATCTTTGTCCAAACAAACTCAGTGTGTTTTACTCAGTTCGTTTGCGTCCCCTGGCCCAAGACTAGAGTATTTTTTTGGTTGAGCAAATCTCCTAAATAGTCCTCCAACTTATTTACTAATCCATCTTTGATCCTTTATCTTTAAAATGGAATATATTAGTCCCCCAACAAAAAATTTTAGATCAAATTAGTCCGTATGTGACTCTGTGACAGCGCAGAGCAGACACCCCAATTCAAATTTAACCACCATTGGAGACTATTGAAAGGGTATTTTTGTCTATTCAATCGGGCCGACCTTTAATTGAACCAAAAATGGAAAAAAACCACCAAAAAATGAACAAAAATTGGCAAAAGAAGATCGAAAGGTTTTGTCTTCAACCTCCAACCATCAAAAATTCCAAACCCCAATCACTATTTTTTCTACATGGGTTTGGGGATATGGATTGCAAAAGCTCACTAACGTTCTTGAATCAAATGGCATCCCCTAGAAATTGAATAAATTTGGAGGAAAAGAGAACGCCACCTGACCCGAAAACAGTCTTGAAAGCCTGTAATTTGTAGGGGAGTTCACGAAAAGCGTCTCCACTGCTGAGAGTTCCAAGAAAAGATGGTCCTAATGATGCAAAATGTGAGAGTCTTGAGGATTGATTCAGGGGCGGTTTTGTCACTGAGGAGGTGTTTAGGAGTTTAGGCCTGCTATTTGATCCAGAACTTGTGGCATCATTCAAGAAAGAGTTGTCCGAAAAGAAAGAGCAAATAAAGAAGATGGTTTCAAGAACACCCACTGCAGTAAAGAAGAGGAATTCCCAAGACTCGGTATCTATTATCAAAAATTTCGAAGAAAAATGCCCCTCTGGTGGTGAAAATGTAGTGGTCTTGTTTACTACAACGCTGAGGGCTATAAGGAAGACATTTGTGGATTGCAACTAAGGCTGCAAACGAGCCGACCCGAGTCGAGATTTGAGCTAATCGAGCCGAGTCTCGACTAAATTTTACCAAGTTCGAACTCGAGCTCGAGCTCGACGAGCCGGCAAATTTCGAGCTCGAGCTCGACTCGAATCAAGTCGAGCGAGCTCGAGCTCGAAAAAAATAAAAAATAATTATTTTATTTTTAAAAAAATAAATAAAATAATATTTTTTCTTAATAAATAATAAAATATTAAGGATATATATGTAATTTTACTATGAAAATAAAAAATAAAAAAAATATATATATATATAATATACGTAATTTTATTATTAAATAAAAATAAAAAAAATAAAAAAAATATATAAATATATATATATATATACCCAAACTCGCGAGCCGGCTCGCGAGCTAACGAGTTTAATATTCTGAGTTCGAGCTCGAGCCGGCTCGAGCTCGACTCGAGCTTGACTCGAGCGGCTCGCGAGCAGCTCGATTCGTTTGCAACCCTAATTGCAACACAGCTAGATCAGTGATTGAGTTGCATCAGGTTTAGATGTTTTGAGTGTGATGTGTCGATGCATCCAGGATTCAAGGATGAATTGATGGGATTAATGGGCACAAAACAAGTGAAAGTTCCCTTGTTCTTTATCAAGGGAAGGTTGATTGTTGGGCCTGATGAGATAGAAGATCGAGGGATTTTTTTGGGATAATTTTAGAAAACCTCATACAGGAGCACTGCATAAGATTGATTGTTGCATAGAAGATCGAGGGAAGATTGATTGTTGCATAAGATGATCAAAGGAATAACCTTTGCTATTTCTTCTACCAGTTGTTTTAAATCAAATTACAATCAAGCAAAGAGCGATAACTTGTGCTGTTTGAAATATCTGACTTTTGTGCTTGAGAGTCTACAGTTTTGTCTAGACAATAACAGTAACAAGAAAATTGGAGATCCTGTTGCAGAAGAGTACTAGAGTAAAACCTTTGCTCATGTCTTCATCTTTATATTCTAGAATACCATCAAACTAACATTGCTGCATCTCAAGCGCTTTGATGTGCACGCGCGCATAGGCACATACAAAGCTAGGGGGGAAGAGAGAGAGAGATCACACAAGCCAAAAAGCGCTTAGAGAGAGAGAGATTGCGCACATGCAAAAAAGTGCTTAGGGAAAGAGAGTGCGTGTCTCAAAATTGGAAGAGCACAAGGAAGAAGATTTAGTGTTGTAAGAGAACATAGCAACATAGTGATCGCGCCGCAGTTCTCTCCAAAAGTGAGAGCTTCTCTCTCTTAAAGTAGAGTTCTTCCCCTCGTTGTAGGAGTTTGTTCCTGAAAACTCCTGCCCAATAATTAAACTCAAAATTTTCGAATTCCATAACACAATCTCCAAAACTTCAGAACTCAAGAATGTCCGAGCAGAGATCTCCAAAAGATACTTCTTAAGTCATCAACACCCTAGAGCTAAAACCCGATTGTTTCCACTATCCAAACCTATTACAGCATTTATTTCCAAATCTATCAAGATCAGCTCTTTCTTTTCCGCAGCTGGAAACACTAGTACCTGACCATGAGCTAGAGGCAGAGTCATGCGCACATAGATCAGACCCTTGCAATTCCAGGCCCTGTGTAGAGGGGGGAGGGGTTTTTCTCCCGTTTTCCTTTTGTTTTTAATTTTTAGCTAGCCTTTTTCCATCTTTTCTTTCCTCTGTGCTTTATGCTTTAGTTTAAACACTAGTCATATTACAGCTTTTCTCCTATCTTGTATCAAGGTTGCATTTATTTTTTCAACAGGTTGAGCACGAGCTCTTCGCATCGTGAGATAGTACTGGGAACATCGTGAATCTTCCAAAAGGAGATGGAGGAAGTTCTTGTTAGTGCATTGAAAAGGTTTGATCTATCAGAGAAAGAGGTGGAAGGAATAGATCTGAGTGTGATGAGAATGTGGAAATAAGTGTACAGGACTGTAGAGGAAGTCTAATCGGTAGAATAATGGGGGATAAGATAGCAAATTTCACAGGAGTTAAAAATTTCACCAACCACGTCTGGGGTTACCCCAGGAACCTAAGAGTGACAGAAATCGGACCCAATGTGTTCCAGTTTCAGTTAGAGAAGGAGGTTGAAAGGGAAAGAGTGCTAAGAGGGGGACCAGGATTCTGCACAATCAAGTGTTGGTGATTAGAGAATAGAGTGCAGGATTTGAAAAAAACATTGAGTGTTTTAGATTCTCACCCTTATGGATTCAGATTTGGAACTTGCCAACCCACTAGATGAGTAGTGCTGCGAGATTGAAGATTGGAAGGGTGTTCCGAAAAGTAAAGGAAGTCATTCTAACTGAAGATCCTGGCCGAGGTAGGACCTATTACAACCTCTAATTAGAGGAACCACAATAAAGCTCAATGGGGAAGGTTGAAGGAGAGAACCAAAGAAAGTTGGCACTGGTAACTAGTCCAGGAATGGAAGAAAAAAGAAACAACAAAAAGCCTTCCACATAACAAAAAGAACTCTACTAAGAGAAATGAAAACAAACATCCAGGATTTGGTACGCAGGAAAAAGGAAGAAGAGTGAAGCAAAAGAGGAGGGTGAACCAATGGAGGAAGATGGCTGGGAGGAACCACTACAAAAATTACTCAAGAAGGAGGTCCAAAAGTTCAAAGAACAAGGGGAATTGGAGGCTATCCCTGTAATGCCTCCACAGTGCAAATGAAGGTACTGATGTGGAATTGTTGAGGTGTGGGAGGACCCTTGGCAATTCCCCAACTGAAGGAGATGATAAATCTCCACTTTCCAAGTATTGTGTTCTTGAGTGAGACAAAAAACCAAAAAACAGTAATGGAAAAAGTTAAGAGGAAGATAAAGTTTGACCAATGTCATGTTGTAGACTCGATTGGCAAGAAAGGAGGCCTAACTCTTTTCTGGAAGGAGGAGGTGCAGGTGGAGATCATCAATGATGGAAATTTCTTCATAGAGGCAAAAATAAAGGACTTAGAGGTGAAGTATGTATGGTGGTTAATGGGAGTGTAAGCTAGTACTGAGGAGAACATTAGAAAAGAGCAATGGAAGATGATAGATAATAAAAAGAAGGAATGGAGGGATCACTGGATCTTAATGGGGGATTTCAATGATATTAGATCAGGGGAAGAAAAATAGGGGAGAAAGTGAGAGCTGAGGGCAGTTTCAGAGAGTTTAACAGGTTCATCAGGGAAAATGAATTGGTGGACATAGATTTTGAAGGAAAACCATGGACATGGTGTAACCAATGGGAAGAGGAGGGAGAGGTGAGAGAGAGACTAGACAGATGTTTAGGATCAGTGAGCTAGTATCAACATTTTGAAAAGGCAATCTGTCTTCATCAAGAAAATGAGGCTTCAGGTCATAGTATCCTTATTCTGGACACTAACCCCAATCAGAGAAAATCAAAGAGGAGATTTTACTTGGATCAAAGGTGGGCAAGAAATGAGGAAAGTAAAGGTATCATAGAGGCAGTATGGGGAATAGAACAGAAGGGATCAAGAATGTTCTAAGTGATGAGGAAGATCAAGGAATGTAGAATAGCTCTGTTGACATAGAACAGAAAGTTGAGGATGAACTTTAGGAAGAAAATTAAACAGATTAAAGAGAAAATGCAGGAAATAAAAGAGTCCAACAGAGAAGGGAAATGAAGTCAGCTAGCGGATATGAAGCTTCAACTCATCAAGGCATATAAAGAGGAAGAACTCTATTGGAGTCAGAAAGCAAGATGCAGGTGGCTACAAGAAGGGGACAAGAATACTGCTTATTTCCATGCAAGTGTGATGGCTACAAGGAGAAGGAACAAAATTATAGTGTTACAGAGAAACAATGATGAATGGTGCAAAACTGAACAAGAAGTGATGGAGGAGATATGCAACTATTACCAACAGCTATTTACAACAGCAAATACTGAACAGGAACAGGAAGTAACGCAAGGGTGTTCCCAATACTATCTCAAGAAAGATGAATGAGCAACTGATACAACCAGTGAATGAAGCAGAAATAAAAAAAAAACACTCTTTTCTATGCATCCAAATAAATCTCCTAGCACAGATGGTATGTCTCCACTATTTTTTCAAAAGTACTGGAATATCACCTGTCTAGATGTGGTCAATGTTGTAACCAATTTCTTCCATATAGGAAATATGTTGAAGGCCGTTAATGAAACTCTTATGACTCTGATCCCTAAAGTTGATAACCCTCTAAATTTGACTCGGTATAAGCCTATCAGTTTGTGCAACACAATGTATAAAATCATATCTAAGGTGTTGGCAAACAAGCTAAAAATTGTGCTAAACAAGTGCATCAGTAAGTCTCAATCTGCCTTTGTTCTTGGCAAGCAGATAATTGATAATGTTCTTATTGCACAAGAATTCATGCATTTCCTGAAAAACAAAAGAAAAGGAGGAGTAGGTTTTATGGCCCTAAAACTGGATATGTCCAAAGTCTATGATAGGGTTGAATGGAAATTTGTAGGAAAAATGATGATGCGTATGGCCTTCTATCCTATTTTTGTTCGATGCATCATGTCTTGTGTTTCTTCTATGTCTTATTCTTTTAACCTGAATGGAGAAAGGATAGGATTCAACAAAGCCAGTAGAGGGCTAAGACAAGGGGACCCCTTTCTCCTTACCTTTTCTGATTTGTGCAGAGGGACTTTCTCACATGATCAACAGGGATATGAACCATGGAAATGTCACAGGAATCAAAGTATGCAAAAGCAGCCCCTAATCTAATTCTTTGCTGATGATTCATTAATCTGCTGCAAAGTAACCGTCCAGGAGGCCAAGCAGGTGAAGGATATCTTACAGAATTACTCAAAGGTGTCTGGACAACTGGTAAATTTTGACAAATCAGCTATGTACTTCAGTAGGAATACTCCTAAACATGTCAGAGAAGAAGTGTGTCAAAAGCTAGGAGATATGAGGGAAGCAGGCAGTGGCAGATATCTGGGCCTGCCTATGGCTATCGCAAGATAAAAAAACCAAGTTTTTGGGTATATCAAGAGTTTAGTTGTGAACAAACTGAAAGGATGGAAAAACAAATGCTGAGTTCAGCTAGAAAGGAAGCCCTGATCAAGTCAGTGATTCAAGCAATGCCAAATTATGCCATGGCTTGCTTTAAGTTACTAGAAGGACTGTGCAAGGATATATGCAAGTATTTAGCGAATTTCTGGTGGGGAAGCGTGCAACAAGATAGGAAAATGCATTGGACAAGTTGGAAGAAATTATCAGAAGTCAAAGGAAAGGGAGGACTGGGATTCAGAGATTTGGAAGCCTTTAACGAAGCCTTACTTGCTAAGCAACTTTGGAGAATTATCACTTTCCCAAATCTGCTAATGAGCAAGGTGATTAGAGCAAAGTTCCTAAAAGATCCAAATGGTCTTGAAAACAACCCCTCTCAATCAGCATCATGGACATGGAAAAGCATTCATAGTGCATGGAGACTGATACAGAGAGGCTTGTGGAAAAGAATAGGAAAAGGATGCCAGGTGAACATGTGGAAGTATAGGTGAAATAATGGGATCCAGAACAGGCAAAATAACCACAAGCTACACTCCAAACTGCCAGATTCAAACCGTGAACTAGCTAATAAAAGATGGAAGATGGAACACAGAAATCCTGCAACAAATTCTCAATCCAGATGATAGAGTGCAAATAGTCAGCATGCTACTCAGTTGCTTCAAAAGAAAAGACAGGTTCTTTTGGAGCTTCTCAAAATCTGGGATGTACGCAGTGAAGGCAGGCTATGTAAATGTCGTGCAGGAGAAGAACAATGAAAAGAGAAGAGAAAGTGTATGAGAGAAAATAAGCTGGAAAATCATAAAGCATAGCATCTGGAAACAACTCTGGAAGCTGAACTTGAAGCAGAAGCTAAAACATTTCATTTGGAGGAGCCTGCAAAATAGCTTAGCTATCAAGGAGACAATCTACAACAGAATAGGCAAAGGTGACAAAATATGCAGTGTGTGCGGGAAAAAAGTAGAAACAATGGAGCACATGTTTTTTCAATGCCCGATCGCTCAAACAGTATGAAAAATAGCACCAGTGAGATGGGAAGGATTGCATGATCTTCAAAATAATCTATGGAAATTGTGGGAAGCAGTTACTCAGACTGAGACAATGGCAAAAGGAAAGGAAAGAATCAACCTACTAGCAAACATACTATGACAGATATGGAAAGCATGAAACAAGGGCCAGTTCAAACATCAAAAAGGAGAAGCAAGAGAAATAATTGGGAAAGCACAACAAGAGTGGGTTGAATATGAAGAAGTTACAGGAAGAGAGAAGTAGCAAAATAAAGGAATAGGGTCAAATCAGCAAGGAATGATGAAAGAGCCACCAAAAGAAGTAATCATCACAATCAATGTTGATCTTGATCCCTATCTTTTGATGTTTACAAAACAAATGGATGATACTAATATTTTTTCAAGATATATTTTCAGTTATGAAGTTATTTGATTCCATGAACAAGTACAATTGAAAGAAAACAAAGTATGCTGAAGCTGTCGGACGCTAAAAAAGACTGCATCAGACGTCCGACAACCATTGAGTATCTTCGGACGCAGAAAACCAGCCTATCGGACGTCCTAAGGAATTGAAGAAAAATTTTCAATTTTACATCATACCTTCGGACGCAGAAAACTAGCCTATCGGACGTCCGAAAGAATTGAAGAAAAAGTCTTAAACTCTCTGCCTGCTGTCGGACGCATAAAACAGGGCTAACGGACATCCGACACTGCCAACGGATAGTTGACTGTTCAGCTATTTTTTATCCGTTGGAAGCATTAATGAAGCACTTTCTTGGTCCTATATAAATAGTGGTTGGTCAGATATTTCAAATAACTTTGACACACTGAAGATACAAAAGATCTAGAGAGATTTTAGTGAGAAAATACTCCAAAGAGAAGATTTGTAGTCTTAGTGGTGTGAGGTTCTTTGTAAGTTTTTCATTTGTGAGTGAATACTTCATGAGTGTAGCTCTGTGAGGGTTGTCCTGAGGGATAGTAAAACGTCCTGACTTGACCGAGTGGAGTTCGGGGCAAGGAGGAGGTGAACCTTCCTTTGTACACAAGAGTGATTGTAATTCATCAACTTGAAGTAGCTTATCTGAATTTATCTACAAGCTCAAGAGGAGTTGGGTAGTTAATTGGTTTACAATCCTTTCCTTTTTATTTACTTATTGTTACGTTTATGATCTTTAAATTGTTTATCTCTTCTACTCACAAGCACTTGTGCTTTCTCATCAACTGCTCCATTGTTGTCGCCTAGAAAAAAAGGTTGTCTGCGGGCCTTACAATTGGTATCAGAGTTTGGTCTCCTAGAGATTAAGCTCAATCGGCTTTGGAGTAAAGATGACAACCAATAATGCTATGTTTTTTGAAGGACATTCTGTCATTAGACCACCTATGTTTAATGGGTCAAATTATGTGAGTTGGAAAGAAATAATGATTATTTTTTTGCAATCTATTGATATTGAATTGTGGTTTATTATTAGTGAAGGTCCATATGATGCCTCTCTTATAGATGAAAATACTCAGAGATCTAGACCAAAAACAAGAAGTGAACTGACTGCTGCAGATAGAGCTCATCTCACATTAAATGCAAAAGTCATGAATGTGCTATATTGTGCTTTAGACTCAAATGAATCTATTAGAATCAAAGGCTGCAAGTCAGCTAAGAAATTTTGGGATAAATTGAAAGAAATTCATGAAGGTAGTGAGAATGTTAGAGAACAAAAGATGTCCATTCTAGTTACAAAGTATGAATCTTTCAAGATACAATCTCATGAAAATATTGATGAGATGTATTGTAGATTCAATGACTTTATTAAGGATTTAGAGGTGCTGGAAAAAGAATATTCTCTTGGTGAGAAAAATAGAAAAATCCTGAATGGCTTGTCCAATGATTGGAAAAATAAAGTGACTGCTATTGAGGAGGCTAAAAATTTGAATACTATGCCTATTGAATCTCTTATTAATTCTCTAACCTCTTATGAGCTGAAACTTAAGACTAAGATGCAAGAGGAAGAGGATGCAAAAGTGCGAAAGAATATTACTCTAAAGGCATCTCAAGATGAAGATGATTCTGCCTCCCTAGATGAAGATGATGCAGAAGGTGATGACAATGATATCGCACTCATCACAAGAAGTTTCAAACGAATACTCAACAAGAAGAGATTCAGAAAAGGTGGACCTAGCAATTCATTCCCAAATCAGTTCAACAACTCGAGAAATAAAGGGAAGCTAGAGTTCAACAAAAGGCAAACTGATAAGTGTTTTGAATGCGGCCAACCTGGACACTATGCAAGTGAATGTCCAGTGATGAAGAAGAAAGAAGGAAAAAACCAAGATTCAACAAATTTCAATTCACATGGAATGAGTGCAACTCCGATGGTGAAATTGAAGAGAATGACGAATCTACTCAATTGGCTTTTATGGCCATTGGAGATGATGAGGTAAGATCTTGTAACTCTCAAGTTGAAAGTGATGATGAAACTGATGATGATCTTGAATCTTTCATTATAAAATTGCATGATAGTTTGAAAGAGTCCTATGCTAGAAACAAGGAGTTAAAACAGAAAATTAGTTTTTTGCTTCGAGATAATGCAAATCTTTTTCAACAAAATAAAAAGTTGAAAGCTGAAAATGATTACTTCAAAAAGAGTGAGAGTGCTTTACATTTTGAACTTGATAGAAAAACAAAACTTTGTGAATTGTTCAAAAAGGAACAAGGTGATTTAAAAAGGACAATGGATGGTCTAAATGAGTTGCTTAAACACAAGAAACAAGTTTGTTTTCAAAAGAATAGGTTGAATTCTAATTCCAATGAATTTGCTATTTATAAGAGAAGACAAGTAAGATTTATTAAACCTGTTCATGTAAATAACTCTTTGGTTATGTGTAATTTCTGTTGTCAAAAAGGTCACATGAAAAGTGATTGTTATGTGAAAAAGAATATGAGAAGAGGCATGAAATGCATGTGGATAGTTAGACATGCTAACTCTAACAAGTAGGAGATTTTGGTAAGAATGAAGAGATTCTTGTTCATAATACTTTTTGTAATTCTCTTTTGAGGTTTCTGATTCTTTGAACTAAGTTTTTCTTGATTTTTGAATATTACTGAATCTGTATGATGTCAAAAAGGGAAAGAAAAGAACAATTCTGATCTAAAGATGTTTTGCTTTGTCAAAACTCTCTGTCATATGTTGATTCTTCTTTTGATATCAAATTCTCTGTGATATGTTGGTGATTGCTGTCATTTTTCTGTTTTTATACTCTGTTATTGTTGCTGGATTGTGATAGTTGATTTTTTTACTCTCATCTTATGATGACAAAAAGGGGAGAGATGGATGCAATGTGTAAGGGGGAGTTATTCTGAGATTATGAGTTTGGCTCTTAAAAGTTTTGGTTGCGATGATTGAGGGGGAGCTTATGCTTATTTTTGTTTCTTTCCATCCATTGTTTTGTCATCATCAAAAAGGGGGAGAATGTTGATCTTGATCCCTATCTTTTGATGTTTACAAAACAAATGGATGATACTAATATTTTTCAAGATATATTTTCAGTTATGAAGTTATTTGATTCCATGAACAAGTGCAATTGAAAGAAGACAAAGTATGCTGAAGCTGTCGGACGCTCAAAAAGACTGCATCGGACGTCCGACAACCATTGAGTATCTTCGGACGCAGAAAACCAGCCTATCGGACGTCCTAAGGAATTGAAGAAAAATTTTCAGTTTTACATCATACCTTCGGACGCAGAAAACCAGCCTATCGGACGTCCGAAAGAATTGAAGAAAAATCTTAAACTCTCTGCCTGCTGTCGGACGCATAAAACAGGGCTATCGGACATCCGACACTGCCAACGGATAGTTGACTGTTCAGCTACTTTTATCCGTTGGAAGCATTAATGAGGCACTTTTTGGTCCTATATAAATAGTGGTTGGTCAGATATTTCAAATAACTTTGACACACTGAAGATACAAAAGATCTAGAGAGATTTTAGTGAGAAAATACTCCAAAGAGAAGATTTGTAGTCTTAGTGGTGTGAGGTTCTTTGTAAGCTTTTCATTTGTGAGTGAATACTTCATGAGTGTAGCTCTGTGAGGGTTGTCCTGAGTGATAGTAAAACGTCCTGACTTGACCGAGTGGAGTTCGGGACAAGGAGGAGGTGAACCTTCATTTGTACACAAGAGTGATTGTAATTCATCAACTTGAAGTAGTTTATCTGAATTTATCTACAAGCGCAAGAGGAGTTGGGTAGTTAATTGGTTTGCAATCCTTTCCTTTTTATTTACTTATTGTTACGTTTATGATTTTTAAATTGTTTATCTCTTCTACTCACAAGCACTTGTGCTTTCTCATCAACTGCTCCATTGTGTGGTCGCCTAGAAAAAAAGGTTATCTTCGGGCCTTACAATCAATACGGATGCTGCTATAAGTTCAAAATTGATCAGAACAGGAAAAGGGATAATAGTAAGAAACTGGATAAGAGATATTATGAGAGCAAGAGGA